TGTAAACGCTGCCTCAGTGGCGCAATCGTCAGAGCGCGCGCCTTTCACGGAGTTTCGCCCCTGATATCGTCCATGTGAAAAGTGTCAGTCAACGCTAGGTCGAAAGTCCTGGGTTTTCTCCGGGTACTCCGATTTCGTCCCACAGGGAATATTGACAGGATTGGTTTGGATTAGCCCCTAAGCTGGCATTATCCCTAAACTAACCTTCCGGCGTAGCTGTGCTCCGTGATCAGACATGAGCCACAAGGTGGCTGCTAGAGGCGCCCCTAGAAAGCCTTTCACTCGACCACGTTTAGCTGTGTCCTTCGCAATTCAGCTTAGCTATCAGCTGCAAGTAAGGATAGTAAGCCCCCCCCCCCTACTTACTATTCGTGATCAAAATTGCAAGTAAGGATAATAAGCAGCCACCCTCCCTACTTACTATTCCTGATCAAAAATGCATTCTGTATACATTCTATGGTGCCATCCCACTTTCTGCTCCTTGCAGAGAAACTGAATAGCATGTAAAATATTTCTAATACTTGCAGATTATATTATTATATATTTAAGCAAATCCAGTATGTTTTTAACATCATTGCTTCACTATATTAAAATTTACACTACTAGATAAAAAAGCTAAAAATGAATCGTTCCATCTCTGTATGGCTTATATGTGATTATTTGCTAGTATTTTGCAAATACAGCAATATTATTTGGTGATAACATGCTATGCTATGGTAATATAAAGGGCGTATACAAAAAGGTAATCCAAATTTGGAGTGCTCTTGTGCGCTCAATATCGAGTGCACAGATTTTTTTATAGTAGTAATGATTGGGTTTTTAGCTTTAGAATTACATCCATTTCATATCATTTCAAGCAAAAATGACCAAATGAAAGCCGGTTAAATATTGCCAGCCGAAGTCACATTTTTCCACCATTTTTCCACATTATTAAAGCAGTACATAACAAAAAGAAAAGCAATTAATCATTAATGTGTCACGCCCAACAATAAGCTTGTTTAATTTAATCCCACGTGTTAAAGCTTTTTAAATTAAAATTTGAAATCCAAATGGAATTTATTTTCAATAGTTTTCCATCCAATTTCCTACGGTGGAAGAATGTGATTTCAACCAGTAATTTTATTCCATTCGTATTTGGTCATTTTCCATTCTAATCATACAAAAAATGTCATTGGACAGTTAAATTTTATTGCCGTGTAAAACTACATCGTTAAACTCAATATCTAAGGCACGCCAATATGCTAAATTTGGACTATCTTTTTATATATCGCATTAAACCTCTCACAGTGCGGTGTTTCGGTCTTACTTATATTTTATATTTTCACCTGAATTATGACCATTGATGTTCCTCTTATTTTTACAAAGAATACTTTTGGCTCATCAGCCACTGTCCGAGCTAGTCGGCATTGTTGAATGAAAACCCGTTTTACCTGGTACTTATCAACGCTTGTAAGGCGATTCGAGATGAAAAAATGCTAACCAAATGTTATTGTGATGCAATGATGTAATGAAATTCCAAAGTTACCAGGAAGGACCTTTTCAATAGCTCTTGAGGGACTTTCTGAACCAATTCTTGTTTAAACCGCCCTTGAAGGTCGATCTTTTGCACTTTCATTACTTTGTCTTTGGACGTTATAGCACCACAAATGCAGGAAACTTGTGTGACTTCAATGTCATTTTTGGTCCTGGGGACATTGTCTTTGGACCGACAGAACATAGTCTTTCGACCTATAGTCGAAACTATGGACTTCACGAGTCCTGTCCTAATGCAGGGAGCATTATGGGACATCGTTCCAATATAATGCAGAGAGCATAGTGGAATCTCGATAGGATGCAAATAGCATCGTGTTCGTGAGATGGGATCTTGCACATAAATTTCACGTTTTGGTCTAATATCGATTAAAAAGTTATCTTACACTGTAAGTAATAACAACTTAAACAAAATAACCATTAACATAGCCGACGTAAACCAATCTCGTGATATATACATTATCACATGAAAAACTAACTAGATCCCAGTCTCCAATGTAATATTATCCGAGGCATCTACTGAATCAGACTTTACCGTTGTAGGAACCTTCGAGTACGTAGTCTTGGCGTAAGTTTTGCCATAGTCGGTCCCAGTACTCTCAGGTCCATTCATACCATTGTGATCCATCTTTATTCCTCCTTCCTCCTCTTCATCCCTACGTCGCAACTCTTCTGCCCTTCTCTCTTTCTCCTCCTTCTCTTTACGGCTCGCTTCTGCCGCGCGATGTTCGTTCTCACGGTGGTAGAAATAGTTAAAATTGCTCACCTATGCAAAAAAAATAAAGTAATGAAGAATAGTTTCTGCCATATTTTTGTTGTACTGCTATTTAGTACAATTATAATTAAATCTGGAATAGGGCTAGCCTGCGTGTCAGGCTCTATGCTTGAAATAGAGTCTGCTACTGGATTTATGCATACAAATCGTACGCAAAATTCCCATTGGTCAGAAATAAATACCTTGCCTTTCAAGGTAATATCTAGTTACTGTTTATTTAATATGAGATTCGTTACTTGTAATTCTACTTTTGGCCGCTTTAATTACTGCTTTTACTGTCTATAAACACGGTCAGTACAATTAGGAGCCTTTTGTATGTAATTCCTGGCCGTAGAATGAAAATTGGACAATTTATGTTCGAGATATTTCCAGTTGAATCCTGATCCAAATCAAGTCAATTACGCGGGAAAATTGGGTGTCACAGTCATATTCTAAATTATTGATTGATTGTTATTTTCGTGCATCCAAATCACAGTCCATTTTTTATTGACTTCAGTAGCAGGCTCTATTTTAAGCATAGAGCCTGACACGCAGACTAGAAAAGGGATACGGAAGGAACTTGGAATAATCTATCCAGAATTGTAGCGGGGTATAGGAGTGAAAAATTGATGTATAGCTGGATTAATGCGCGAGGTGTGTCTAATGGTTCATTGAATTGACGTTCTAATTCATGTCATGTGTGTTTAATATTTTGGGGTTTTATTTTACTTTACTTTATTCTATTGTGCATGCTGTATCGTTCATAATTGCATGCACCACAGTGCATATTGCATGTTGGATGTTGTAAGGTTTAATTACTGTGTATTTTGTGTATGATTCATACAGGTCTTTGAACACGAAGTGGCCATGGTTTGTACTGATCTGAACTGAAACACACTTCAGTGTTACGAATGAAGAGCCTTCCTTGGGAGTCTTGATATATATATGGAAGGTTCTTCGCTTAAAATAACTTCAAGCGTTTTTGTTCTTTCTCACGATATTTTGACACAAAATATGCCATCGTAATGGAGAATTATATTTTTAGGGGATCCGATATTTCAGATGGTTTCATGCACTGTGGTATCTTTTGCATTGTGCATACTTCATAGTTGTATGATAAATCATGTATCATGTAATAATAATGATACATATATTGTGGCTATAAAATCTGGTAAATGCGGGTTACGTACAAAATACAAGGACACTTAGTCGGTTCTCTCGCTTGGGGCTATCTTAAGTAATACCAAGTCACTGAACTGGCAGTCAGGTAATTTTAAAAATAATTAAAACCAATTGAGTACTTACAATAACTGGCACAGGAAGAGCAATGGTAAGAACACCAGATATTGCACAAAGTGAGCCCACGATCTTTCCCCACAGCGTCACTGGCTTCATGTCGCCATAACCGACCGTTGTCATGGTAACCACCGCCCACCAAAATGCTTCAGGAATACTCTAAAATAAAATAACACGAAGGTTAGTTTGGTTTTACTACAGTCAAGGGGAGGGGGGTCGGAAATAAGTGGCAATGCCATGTACAAGGTCAATGTGGAACATATATTGGCCCAGGTTTCCCTATAATGTTGATGAGGTACGTTAAACAGCTAATTACAAAGGCAACAAGTTTTTATCCACTAATATTTTAATGGCAAATGGCATAATTCAAAATTTAGAATTTAAAAAAATCCTTTGTCGATATTTAAATTGCCCCTTACGAATTCTTATTGTTTCATTGGAAAGAATAATATATTTGCCTCGTGTTTGAATAATATATTTGCAAATTACTCAACAGTACGTCGCGTCACACATGCATAATTACTTACAGTTGAAAGCTTTTTTATCATGGTTAAAAAAGACTGTGTTTTGACTTTGCGCTAAAGACTGTGTTTTGACTTTGCGCTAAAGACCGAACGTGGGAAATTTTTAGTGTTTTCATTTGAAAATAGAAAACTTAATCTACATTCTGTCCAAAATTAAATCCATTTCCTGCTTGCAATTTTAAAAAATATAGAATAAAACATATTCCAAATACATGCATCTTAAAAATCGAAGATAAGTTGGATTTTCAAGATACATATTTTAGATATGTATTGGCGGGTTTCTCGCCTTTGATAGCGGCACGGAAAGCTAATTGCGTGACCCTTATGCTAAAATAATGGGCAAGTTAAGAAAAAACATGGCATAAAAGCGATTATAATTCGCACAGTAGGGAAGTCAGTGATCAGTTGAAATGTTATGAACACATGGGAAGAGAAGATAATCAAGTGAACATTTGCATAATGTTATTTTCACTTCCAAAACGTTCTCGAAACTTCGGTATTATTATATGTACACCAGAATGTTTATTTCTTAAGTGTATAATCATGTGGCATAAAGCATAGTGATAAACGTTTGTTGTCAAACAAAATATATAATTGTAGCACTAACGCTTTCCAACGAAGCTGCGCGCGTGCTGTGTTTAGATCTTTACTTTAATAGAAGTGCTCTAAACTGAGAACAGACTTTTATTACAATGGTTGTTTAATTGCTATATACATAAATATACTAACGTCATGCATGCTCAGCAATCGGAAGTAGCCTGCATGATTGGAAGACAATAATCGTCACATTTAATTTAACAACGCTGAGTTTTAACTTATTTTCTGGCTGTGCATGCAGACCATTCGCAAAATGCAGCATTTTGATTGGTTCCTGAGCGGTTGGAAGCCAACAGTGCGGACCGCTCACGAAGAAAACTTAACTGAACTCCCCAGCCAAAAAAAATCTATAAATATGTGACCTTGGTAAGTCTTTTATATAATATAGCTTGCTGTCCTACTCACAGTTCTACTCTAGCGTTAAAATGTTGTACACTGTTTACACATATAAGACTGCTTTCTCTCTTAACTGAATCTGCAGGTTGTTCAAAGCTGGATTAGCGCTAACCCTGTGTTAAAATTTAACCTGCTGTTTTAGTTTATGTATTTCTGTTATCCATTTGTAAAATAGATAATAAATTGTTATCTATTTATTTATTTATCTCAAAGCTTCGGAGAAGAAAACTCTCATTGATCCACACAAGATTTCTGAAGAAATATTTCCAAGTTTATAAACAAGCTGTTGTGAAGTTTGCTTTGAATTTTAGGTTAACCTAGGGTCAAGTTAACCGGCTTTTGAACAACCGGCCCCAGATAATTAGCCATTCCGAAGTTGATGAGTGGACTGGGGACGAGTGTTAAAAAGCGTCCAAATTAAGAAATGAACGAAACCACTAAAAAGACCACCTCAAAATTAGTAAGTATACAAAGTTTGAAGACGTTTACATGAATATCCTTCGAATAATAAGCTTTCGAAAATCCGATATTTACTATGAAATGTATTGCAATTTTTGTTTTTTGGACGCACGTCCCAAATTTCATAATTTTTGAAAGCTTGTTATTCGAAGGATATTCATGTAAACGTCTTCAAACTTTGTATACTTACTAATTTTGAGGTGGTCTTTTTAGTGATTTCGTTCATTTCTTAATTTGGGCGCTTTTTAACACTCGTCCCAGTCCACTCATCAACTTCAGAATAGCTAATTAAACCCTGCATGTTTCCACAACGGTCGTCAACATAGTCAAGGTGGCCGATGTCTCAGCGACTACCTCTGCAATCAAACAGACCACTTTGCACACAGTACATAAAACACAAGAGAGGTTCTGCATGTTTCACATCGTCAAAAATGACTTGGTAACAACCAGTGAGCACCATATATATATATGGAGTGAGACTCACTCGAGTCCAAAAAGTGAAACCAAAGATTAAGCTATTTGGACATCTGTTCCAATCCCTTTCTTTTGTTTTCTCCATGCGGTCTTCCAGGAGTGTGCCGAAATTTCGTATTTTAACTTCAATGTAAAGAATAACACTATGGTTTAATGAACCAAAACTTGATTAGCGAAAAAGGTCAAACGGTCTATGCCAGCGCTACAAACTTCATAGGTACTGGACGTCAATTTCCGCCTTCACGTTTCTTATACGAAAATTACTTCACGTTTTCTTATTGAAAATTTGAAGGAAACCTTAACATCCATGTCCCACTATGGGCGCAACAACATATGGTTGACAGCCAATCATTCTTGAATTTACCGTTGGTCTGCAGGAAATTTTGGTCTTCAGGTTGTGCACCCAGGAAGAAAATTCTTTTTTCCTGCCCTGAGCAGCGCAATCACGAAAACGAGGCTCTATATACAAGGTGATGTACTTCCGAAAGCGTGTATTGCGTAGTGGGGGCAGCGGTGACATGCCACTGCAAATACATCCTGATATAGATATAGGATTTAACAGACATCGCCATAATTACGATGAAAGCAATTACTAATAATTATTGCCCGAAAGAATATGGGGATTGTTCTCCGCCTGACACCAAATTGGGCGTTCTAAGTTTTTAACTTGTGCCGCCGAATTTTCAACGAACGAGTTTTACCAGTTGTTTGACTACTTCAAGCATATAACGTTGGATTACAGTTCGGTTGACGTCAAAAATTTTTTAAAATCATCAAAAGAACGCCAACGAAATTAGATATGAAAATAATCGGAGGAAAGTTCTCGAATAACTAATCATACGGCAGCTGTAACTCGTGAAGATATCTGTGCATCACGCCATTTTAGTGTCATCGCATATGAGTTCATTTGAATTTTGCATTTTGCTGTTAAAATTCTACTCGGTACTATATATGTAACGATAATTTTTCATGTGAAATCAATGTTTTCTTTACTTTGATTCAATCCATCTAACTGATGCAAAACAGTCTGTATCTATCATTCACATGTGAAATAATAGGACAATTAGTTTTCCTAATGGAAAATAGTCAAGATGCAGATAAAAATTTCAAGGCCGATACTTCAAGTCTATGACCGCAGAAATATGGACTATCTGTGAAGATAACATTTTAATCTTTCATTGCAGAATAATTAAACCGTGATAAGACGCCATGCACCACAAAGATGTACGAACAAAGTTGAATTCATGGTCAAGAAATAATATTCCTCAATAAATCATATACATCAATTCTCCATACTCAGAAATTCCATGCCACTAGAACCATAACTGCGCTGCCCATGGGAAATCAATAAACGTTTAATAGTCCAGTGATAGCACAGATGGAAACCAAAGTCAGCAGGGCCGTGTCAAATGGTTTTTGGTTGGGGGGATGAAATAAAAAATTTGGCCCCCCTCCCATTTGCCCCTCCCCCCCAAAAAAATTTTCCAGAAACTAAAAAATTTTTCCGCAAAATACTGGCGACGGGGGAAGGGGGGGGAGGTCCCAAAAATTTTTTCAAACACTATAAGTTTACATAATGGGTGCTTAAATTTAGTTTTGAAGACATTTTTAGGCCCATTTTCCAGAAAATTCCTTAATATTTAACACGTTCCGCAATTCCAGCTTTCCAGGGCCCCCTCTCCGCAAGTTAGGCCCCCTTTTTTACTTTTCTTGGGGGAGGGGGGTTTTACACCCCCTCCCCCAGGTGGCACGGCCCTGGAAGTCAGTCGCATAAAAAATTACGGTCACTTTTACCATTGCTGTGTGCATGGATGAGCCAAACTGGAAGCACTCTTCCATATGCAAGTCCACCGAGGGGGAGAGGAGGCAGGGGAGCACTTTGCCCCAGCATCCATCTCACAAGGGCCCACAAAGGAACGAAGGCCGTTATGATAGCTACGTTAGTGCCGAATTTATTACACTTTGTTATTATTCGATAACTGCATATTCTAGGAACGAAACCATGTGAAACACCGATGCTATGACGACTTCATAGGAGCCCCCTGGGAAGTTTTGCCCCCCTGGCCCCTCGAAACCTTTCGGCGGCCCTGCTCATATCGATCGATATCGGGTGAATGTCATATGAACTGATTATATATCGATTTGTCCAAGAGTCCAATCTTTTAATGCTATAGTGTCATGCAACAAACGTCAAAGTATAAACTTCGCAAAATGACTCAATTCTAAGATATCGCAAGCTTGTTCTCTTTTAATGGAAGAAGTAAAAAAAGATTCAGCTTTCATTTCCATTTTTTTATTACTATCGCTTCTTATTAATATAAATACTGCAAAACCCATTTCAAAAATATCATTACGAAATTAATGGAAAAACTCTTCAACATTGACATTGACTTCATAGTCAATAAAATCTGCTTTCTTCAATCCGTTTATCTGCAATCATCTGCAATAAACACTGCAATATTATGGGAGATTTTACTAGCAATATTTCTCGTCGAATATGTTCTAGAATTGAATCATTTTGCAAATTTTCATTTTGACATTTACATGCAGCTGACTGCTAGGGATTACGTTCTGTCAATGACCTAGAAGGTAAATTGATGCTGACTAGAGGAGACAATTTTTAGAGAAGATTATTTCATGAGTAAACGAGAATTTTCTCTTTGTTTTGTCTGGAAAAAATGGGTAATTTCAAACTGTTAATTTCAAGGAGTTAAATTAGGAGACCGTAAGTGAGATAAAAAACCCGATTCCCACGCAAATAGTTCTGGTTAAAAATAGAATGCTTTTACCCCGCTTTGTATCAAGTACCACTCGTCCATATCTGTACATATTTTCTACAAAGTTTAACGTTCACTGTTCCTAAATATATCTGCTATTTTAGAATTGAATAAGCTTACACTGTTAATTTTAGGAAGTTAATTAAACTCCCAGTAGAGGTATTTTGAACCAAATTTAACTCCAAATGAAGAGTAAAATTAGGTTCAAAATAACTCCACCGGAGTTAAATTAACTCCCTGAAATTGACATTGTTCAATGCCAGTTTTTACATTCTTACATTAAAAATTACCAAGTATAGTCATGAGGTACGCCCTTATGCTTTTATTGGCTTTTTAAATATATTTATATAGCAGAGGAACTCTTTTCCTCCGTTTTATGTGAAATTAATTGGACGGCATTCGAGAAGATTTTGAGGGAGACACTTATGCCTGGTTTCTGGACTGAGATGTTTCTTGCTAAAATAACGTGCAGTGGAATATGTTCAGCGCGAAGCAATGCTATAGATTCGTGACGCCTATTAATTCTTGTGCATATTTTCAAAACAAACGCAATGTTTGGCTGCCACATGTGAAACCACAAGCGCACTTAAAAGAATAAACGTTAATTTTAACTCACTGTGCGATGAACACAAGACTTTTCAATGCTCACAGTAGTCAGATGCATAGATTAAACCCTCAAGTTTTAAAAGTATATTCAACATTTATGAACTACTGAATTGAACTTCATGATTCATACAAAATGTTTTGTAATCAGAAATGATTGCATGATTCTCCGCTACTGTTTGGATTTAAAACTAACAGGTTCTGGCCGGCGAACAGTAAACATTTGTACAAATTGTACATGTATGTTTGAATTTGTGCAATCGCTTCGTACCCGTTAGCATTTAACGGTATTAATTTGACAAATCTCGGGTAATTTTATTGAACAAATAAATGTTTATTGAAAATTTACGTTGCGCATAAAATTCAAATAGAGTTATATATAGCAGAGGAAATATTTCCTCCGTTTTATGTGAAATCAATTGGACGGCATTCGAGAAGATTTTGAGGGAGACACAATATATTGCCTGGTTTCCGGAGATGTTTCTTGCGAAAATAATGTGCAGTGGAATATGTTCAGCGCAAAGCAATGCTATAGTAAACATTTGTTTGTTTGGATTTGTGCAACCCTCCGTACCCGTTATGGCATTTAACGGTATTAATTTGACAAATCTCGGGTAATTTTATTGAACAAATAAATGTTTATTGAAAATTTACGTTACGCATAAAATTCATGTATTTTGAATAAAAATTTCGAAAAAAAAGTAATTGTATAAAAAAGTCCTGCACTTTGCATTTTAGATTGAAAATAAAACCTTAAAGTTGGTCAGATGAGTCAGACAATGACTCGACAGGCTATTGAAATTGCTATGCATAATACATTACATGCAAGGCGGCAGGAATAAGTTATTATATCCCCTATAGCTCAGATATCAGTATTTTGATATTGGTTAAAGATAACTCTGATACATTACTTTTTTTCACTTTCGAGTTTCGATTTTCTAGTTACTTCTAATGAAGAATGCTTTTTTTCAGATAACCGATAAAAAATAGCCGCCTTAGCTAATGGACGATACACGCAACACGAATACACTTTGCTAAAAGCTATTTAAAATTTCTAAGGAATATGGCATTGTTTAAAGGTAAAATCAGTGAGCATAGCAAAAACTGTTTGGGAAACCTTATCAGTATACTGTACCCTCCGAATTGTAATTAGATCCGATTATTAATACAAAACGGTAACAAGAGTTTTGAAAAATCGAGTTTCCAATCGAAATATGTTTAAACAAATAACTCGGACGTGAATATGAATTCGCATTATTAAAGGCTGTTCCACCTGCTCGTGAAAGCTAGTACCGTATTTTGTTTTTGTTTATGTTAAATCGTAGCGCGTGACAATAGATGAATAGCGTTAGTCACTAAAAAAGTAATGCTTTTGGGAGAAATTACTTAAAACATTAAAATCACGAATTCTGAAACACAATATATATAGATGATAAGTCTCGTTTTGTTTGGTTCGGGCTTAAATAAACGGCGGTTAGCAACAGCGACAACAATCATGCTGCATTAAGTATAAACGTTTTTGTTAATTGGGCCATATAGGATGACTAATAGGTATAGCCTTGCCAAAGAACCTGGGCTAGATTGCAAGCAAATATATACAAGCGTCAAACTCAAGCGGGGTCCGATCAAGTGTATACATAACTGGTATACATGTTATTTATATAAACTATCAACAAAGTTGCATAACGGAGAATTACACGAGCCTCGTTGACAGATCTATCTGCCTGGAATATATCTGAAATTGGAAGTTACTGTAATAGTGACCTTTGCTAGAAATTTTGAAGAACGTCTTATAATTTTCAAGTAGTGTGATCCTTCAGACAATCGGGCGAAAATAGTTCATCGCTTCGCAAACTGTAACCCTATCTATACGCTGTAGAAATTATATGTACTGTACTTACCCCAAAGTTTGTGCCTTGCTCTCCTCCTTCAGCATAGTAGACAGCGCTTGAGAATAGAATTACCCCAATGAGTAGGAAAAATATTAGTAATCCGAGCTCTCGTAAACTAGCGCGTAATGTGTGGCCCAGTATTTGAAGCCCTCTTGAATGTCTTGAAAGTTTAAATATCCGGAAGACACGAACCAATCGTATGACTCGTAGGACACCCAAACTCGACGCTTTCGAACTTTTCATCGGTAGTGTGATATAGTACGGCATTATTGCTACCACGTCGATAATGTTGAGAAATGAACGCAAAAATACTAACTTATTCGGTGAGGACAATAGTCTCACTAAGTACTCAAATGTAAACCAAATAATACAAGCAGTTTCAAGACCAAACCATGGCTGTCGAAATCGTTCATCTTCTGCCGGTATCTTCACAGTGCCGTTGAAAATGACCTCTTTTTGAGGTTGAAATTGAGGCAAAGTTTCGACACAAAAAGTCACAATCGATATCACTATCACAGATACTGAAATAATCGCGATAATACGAGCAGCGAAACTCGTATCTGGGAATTCAAATAGTTTCCAAATCGCCTTCTGTAATGGGTGATCTGGTAAGTCTGGCTTTTCTTCCTCGATATAACCTTCCTCTTGTTCAACTCGCTGTAATACTTCGTCTCCTAGTTCGTAAAATCGTATTTCATCAGCAAATACGTCCATCGGCACGTTAGCTGGCCGCAGTAGCTTCCCACGGGATTGGTAATAAAATAATATAGCATCAAAAGCCGGTCTATTTCTGTCAAAGAAATACTCCTTCTGATTCCGATCATAATATCGATGACGTCTCGACGGATTTCCTAGTAAACTCTCAGGATATTCATCCAAAGTTTTTTGTCGTGTTTCAAATTTCAAACCCGAGACATTCACAACAACACGCTCTTCGCCCGCGTCATCGTCGCTCGTGTGTGATTGTGTTTCATCATCTTGGTCGGGGTTATGATGTCGAGATAATAGGACACCACCATTTTCTGATTCCGGCAGCGGAGAGCGAGATTTGCCGTACTGTAGTGCTGTGTCCATATTCTTATCTTGCTTTTCGCTCCATGTTTTGTGCCCCGAAGGATGACATCCTACAAACAAGAGAGCAAGAAAGCATCTCATTCAGTACTCAACGTGAACCAAAGACCGTTTATAAGACCATTACGGCATTATCAATACGTGTTCACGGTATAGACACGGCAGACAACACAATCATTCGCACACAAAGACGAAACGTCGCCCCTCGTTGAAATACAAGCGACACTGTACAAACGTTCACCTGCATAAATTATTTATTTTGCCCGACATAAACTTTTTATTTATTTATCCTGTGAATAAATTACACTCATGCCGTTCAGATGTTCAAGCTCCGTACAATATTCAATAAAGCCCTAAGTGCTGACAGGCTTTATATATAGGTTTCCCGATGAACATGGGTCACGACCTTGTTCCTATCGCAAAGTGCATAATTTCCTCCGTGGATCGTGTGTAAATATTCAGTATATCAACTTGCCAACGCCAACGCAACGGCGATTTTATAACATAGTTATTTTATTAAAATGTCCTTTTGCCAGGTAACTGGCAGTAACGACGTCTGATATAATTACGAAATCGATCGACCTTACGACAGAAGTTATCAAAGTTATCAAATCCTTATTCTTGATAAAGTTTGATAAACTCTAGATACGGTTCACTGAATTCTTTGAAACGAAAACTTAAGCATTTATCGAAATTATAATAATAAAAGCCGGCCCGCTCCTCTTAAATATACATGTTGCATGCTATCGTTGTGAGGGAGAAGGCTATACTGTCAAAACTGTAAATCATAAAACGCACGCGATAATAAGATACTCCTGTTGTCTATGATTGGAAACTAGAAGTAAAATTAATGTTCGGTTTGAGAGTGTAGTTTTGCTGGGGGTTTTTTCGTTATCTATCAGTATATCAGATTAATATACACAAAATGCCTGAGCCTGATGGTCATAAATATTTGCTATTTCGAAACATTTTCTAATTTGGGCGAATTAAATAATGATTTTTTTACACTGACGTATGAAACGTCGGCATATGCAAAGGTTGCATGGCTACAAATAAATGTCGAATGTTCAACGCTTTTGAAGGGAAACTTATTTGTTGTATGTGATATTGATGTATTTCGAACAGCAGTTCAATGTGATAATGTTAATATCTGGCAGTACTGAAAACAAAGTTCACGGTTCTGAGTCGGACCCCACGAAGTCAAAGGCCATCGGATCATCATGATCATGCAACTCTTGTAAAATTGCTTGGAAAGCTAAAAAATCTACGAATTTGGAATTCACAGTAAATGAAAAGAATTTATAAATACCAAGTTTAATCTCGGTTATACTAATCAACAGACAATTTCAGAATGCATGAAAAGATCACTGGCTAGCGCTATCGGCGGTCTTCGGCTATAACCAGCCTCAGAACGATATTAAAATTGTCATGACTCATGTAGATAAATGTCGCATGCTGAATAAGGAAGAGTTCATAGTTATATTTATACATGACTTGTTTACTGTATCTAATGTTAATAATATAATAATATTAGGGTATACCTCAAACTGCAGCTATAATAAATCCACGTACAACTAGTTACTGCACATTGCGGATTGAATGTGATAACCGCGCACATAACGATAAATGAAGATAAAGAGACTTGTTTTTTTGTATTGTACGTGTCTCTGAACATGCGATACATCGAAAAATCCACGGCATATTGTATTCTACGTTGACTGATTACGATCCTTATAGAAAACTCAAGTGTTTGGGATGTAATTTGAATGAAAATAGAGATAAACTGTTGTGACAGAAACTTAATATTTGTTGTATGTAAAATGATAATATTAAAGCGCGAATCAAACAAGGATGAGAATGCATCAGATTTAGCAGTCACAAGACCTTGGTTAGCTGTCCTTACTGAAATTAATGTGTTTCCAACACTAACATGTAACATAAAATTCATCTTCAACGACCTTGAAATGTCCCCTGTAACAATTCGTGACCGCCAACTCTTGAGATTAACTCTCATCCTCGTTTGATCCGGGATTTATACTGTCTTAACGAATATTGAACATGCGGTCCAAAGATTTGGATAGTAAATCCGATGCCCGCACTAATCAGTTGACAGCTACGATATTAAAATTCCCTTAATCATGCTGAATAATCGGCCTCGTGCGAAATAATGGTTCAACGCTTGTCAAGATATTCTATATATGATGTAAGACTGATATATGATAATACCTCAAACTGCAGCTCCATGAAAAAATCCAGAAACTAGAAAACGTACACTGCATGACTGAAATCGACGCTTGAAAACGATGCTTGTCACAATTGTACAACTCACTGAGAGCTTGGAGCGATATATTAAAATCATCTTCGCATCATGTCTCGGCCAATTTGATTCAAAAACAACAAAGCGAAGTCAAAGGGAAAGTAGATTGTTTTAATTCCCCGCCGTTCAAAAGTAAACACAAGTTAACAAAGACTATCAGTGAGAAATTTGATACGATGTGTTGTGCTTCGAGATAACCAACTGAGAAGATTGTATAAAGGATGAACCAAATAGGGCTAGCTCAATGCAAGTCATTCCGGTCTAGGCCTGCTTTTCCGCTACGGATTTTTCACAATAGTTTTTTTTCTATTCATTGTCAAAAATTCTATACTCCTCCCAATAATCTCAAACAAAAGTTTATTAATAAACAATATTGACGGCATAAAGACTGCTATCAAGGGAGGTAATTTTCCCTCGTGATCTTGCAACAATTTCAAACGCTATGACTTTTTTTAAAGGTATTTTCTCATGAAGAAAATCTTTGACATAATTAGATAAGAATTTTCCTGTTAACCAAACCCCCATTACTGTTAGCAGCCATAATTTCAGGAAATTTGGGTTTAAAAATAACTCCACTGGAGTTCAAATTAACTCACTGAAATTATAACAGTCTTTTTTTATCAATGTTGAGTCTGTGGCAGTAAACTTACCAAAACCTGTTTGAAGACATTAAATGTAACATTAAATTATTAAGGGAGGACAAGAAATGGTACAGAAGTTATCGAGTTTCAGTTGTCGACTTTATTCTTTTGAACCTAAGTCGTATGATTTTAAAACACTGAAACAATGAACATCATGATTCTTTCTGCACTTTTGTATATTATATAACATGGCTTTGAAAAATTCATTGCGTTACGTGACCTTATGACGTGCGAGCTTTGGAATGTGAATTTAAAATGCTATCTTTTTTTAATTCATTAACGTGCATGACTGTGTACAGTAGTTCACTTATTATGTACCGAATTTAATGCAAATGCCTAAACACGTTGTTTGAGCTCGTGGGCATTAAAACACGGTGTATGAAAAGTTCACACATGACATGTTCGAGTTTTGAACTAGACCTCGATGCCAGCGTCACGACTGTCTTATTGCTAGTTTCTTTTTACCAAACTGAATCTGAATTCATTTATATAGTTGTATCCATTCCAAATTTGTCTTTAGGACATTTAGCCGGACAGATAGAAGGAAAAAACTTACGATATCGTGGGACAATTCCATTTTTCCTTCATATTGTGCCCTGAAGACTAATAAGTACGTTTCTGTATGTTGGCCGCGTTAAAATTTCTTGTGGGCTCCTGTCGACACGTTTTTCTTCGAATTTTGTATTAAATTCTATTACAGTTAAAAAATGTGAAATTTCAAATGCATTTCTAATACAAATGACTTGCATCATTTGAAAGCTTGCAAAAAACTACATATAAGACATTTAAACGGTTACCCAGGATTTTCAAGTTCTTGTTTAGTTATGAGCTGTTGAATGCGTGTTTTCAGACTAGTACCCAGGAATTTTGCGAGATTTGGCTTATTTTTCACATTTAAAACAGCAATAACTTGAAAACCGCTTGAAAATCCCAACTAACCATTTAAATGTCTTATATGTAGTTTTTTGTTAGCTTTCTATTGGTGCAAGTCATTTGTATTAGAAATGCATCAGAAATTTCACATTTGTTAACTGTAATAGAGTTTAATACAAAATTCGAAGAAAAACGTGTTGGCAGGAGCCCACAAGAAATTTTAACGAGGCCGACATGCAGAAAATACTTACTAGCCTTCAGGGCACAATATGAAAGCAAAATGGAATTGTCCCACGATATGGTAAGTTTTCCATAATTTTGAGCCTCTATCTGCCTGACTAATTAACCGTAATTAATTAGTTAGAATAAAATATCCATATACATTTATGCAAGACATCAGTGTGTGGAGACTATGATTAACCTGCATGGAGATGACGTAACTGCCGTGAACAAGATGGAGATCCCATGCCATTGAGGATAAGAAGATGCTATATCCCACATCTTGTGGTGAGTGTTATGGGATTATTACACATTGTAGTCATTACAGTATTACGTACAATATGCCGAAATCACGCCACCTACACATAGCACAGTTATATACTAGCAGATAACTGAGTAATGTGTAGGTTGAGCCCGCGATAAGTAATATTAACAAGAAAAAGCAATATGAACGACGGGCGTTTCTGTGAATGGTTTCTGGGCAAAAAGCAAAAATGGTTTCTGGGCAAAAGGTTTTTTTACATTTTTATCGGAAGGAGAAACCGCAAACGTTGTATTGTAAAAGTAATGAAAATGCAATG